ACTGAACACTATAAATTCACTATTTTGTTTAAAATTAATAATTGTACATTGCTATTTAAAAAATTTACTGTTTTGTAACCTGAAATAAAATTTTTTTTTAATAAAAATTGTCATTAATTATTTATATGTATATTCATATGTTTGTATTATTAACATTTTCCAAGTTATCTATTGAAAAAAGAACGTGAAACGTCATATTTTGATTACAATGTTAAAAACTGTGATAACAATGCAAACGTAATGTAATTGGATACGGTTGTAATAAAAAAAACCATAATGAATTAATTTAATACCTTTAACAAGTAATTTTATATACTAAAATTTCATTACATATTTATAAAATATCAAAATATATATAAAGACAATAAATATTTAATTATCAAAAATATTTTCTCTTTTAAAGTATGTATAGGTATTGTGTAAAAATGTTTAATTATCTTGTCATATTTGAAATTTTAAAATTTGTTGCAATATACTACGTTGTCGAAATTATAGATGTTGTAAATTGAAAATGGCATTTGAAATAAGAGAATTTTGAAAATTTTCTGGATTTGTTATTGTAGATGTGGAAGTAATGAATTTTAAATAGGGACGACATAATTTTTTTTCGGAAATTCAAGCTTTCTTGTTTATAAGAAATCTAAAGAGATTACTATTCTCGAAAATTATTTATCAGCAATTACAAATCATAATTTCAATTGTACTGTATAACAGTTACTGTATGATAAATGACAATTATTCGACTCTTTGATATAAATGTACGCATAAAGGCATAAATTACTTACTTATAAACACAAACACAAGTGTGTGTACATATTTGACTCAATATTATGTTCTACAGAAGAATAATAACAATTAGCCAACGCATAATAACTAGTAAAATTACCAATGTAAAATATTACATCTTTGCGCCTTAATTATTGTTATTGTACTTAATTACTTTATATGTGCCTATGTACATATGTAGGTACTTATAACCAAATACATTTTTACATATGCAATAGGGTAGGTTACGTGACGGCAACAAATTTTGCATATCGATTTTTTGGTGGGAACGCACTTCTCCGTGTTAGGGAAGTGTAAATAAACTATTTTAAGCGATTTGGCGGATTTTGGGACAAACGCCTGTGTTTCAAGTTTGGCTAAACCGATTTTCATGAAATTTGATATGTGAGTTTGTTTTGGGTATGTCACGGATTGATCAACTTTTGAGATATATCAAGCACTGAGAACTAGACTTTTTCTTGAAATTTAATATTTAAATTTGGAGTGTTAAAACAATAAACATATAAATTTTTTGGAGCGATTCGGGAACGGAAATCGCACTAGGGGCCCAATTTACATTTTTTACCATTTTTACGAAACGGATTGATGAGATTTCTTGAAATTTGACATTTGAGTTCGGGTTGTTACCCATATACAAAATTCGCATACTAAAAGTAAATCTCTACTAAAGGAGTTAATTCGAAGCCCCTTAAATTTCCTAGTAATCAATCAATAATTAATTCTGTATAATCAATTTTTTATAAATATTATTAAATTGGTAAATTTTAACTCTTATTTGTATATACATAGGTGAAACATTTCTTATAATGTCAAGGAATGAGTACCTGATATTTTTTTCTTGAAAAAATTATATGCAAAAATTTAGGACCAGAGCTAATTCCAACCCTACAAAATTTTTTCTGTTCAGGTTGAACTTAAGAAAACTTTTGCAATTTAAAACATTCTAAATAAATATAATTACTCATAAATAAATAAACACAAAACATGTCTGTTAGCAGCACCGGCTCTAGCGGTACTAGAACCCCGATGCAAGTTTCTATTTAGCGCCCTTTATCAAAAAATATATCAAAAAAATCAAATGCTAATTAAACAGTATATTGATTATTGTATAATATATAATATTAAACATTTATTTGTAACTGATATCAATTACACATAAAATCAATTGCACGATAGTTAGCTTAAAAATTTATTTTTCTTGCTTTTATCGCAGCAAATTCATCCAAAATATCATTAATTTTTAATTCATCTCAGATATCGCTTTCAATAGCAATCATTGCTAACCCAACTAATCTCTCTTGAGAAATATTTGATAGAAATATGTCTTAATTAATTTAAGTTTAGAAAATGACCTTTCGCCACTTGCTACAGAAACTGGTAGAGTTAATAGTATCCGCAAAGCTATTGTTAAATTTGGAAATATCCCAAATAAATCATTTGTATACATAAAATTTAAAATATTTAAGGGATCATAATTGTTTAGTTGCGGCGTTATGGTATCTTTAAATATAAAAAGTTCATTATATAACTCAGAAGAGTTTATGTCTATCTAATGATGCTGCAAAATTTTGATAATTTGAAATCTATATAAAATTGATAAAAATCACTATACTCACAAAAATGGTATTATCCAACAAATTAAACTTTTTTCTTACACTTTAATGTCTAATTAAAATTAAATATTTCACAAAATAAATTATATTTTATTTAAATTAAATGAAATACTATTTTTTCTTACTGAAAATATCGCAACGAAAATGAAAAATGCCTGTCTATAAACCAAAAAGCTTTTAACGAAAAAAAATTTTTTTAAAAAAAAGCCTACTACGACTACATTTTTTTTTGTGTTTTTTTAATTTGAGATAAGCAAAAATTTTTTTAAAAAAAATTTGGATTGGAAACTTGATTTAAAAAAAAAAAAATTACAAAAAACAATTAAGTGGAAAATCACTTTTCGATTTTAGCGCCCATTCAGACCCTTTCAGAGTGGCGCCCCGATGCCGTGCATCTTCTGCATCCACGGTCGAGCCGGGTCTGTCTGTTAGTTAATGTTGTCATGGGTGTTCGTATTTCTTTTCATTATCAATTATGAATGGCGAATATTTGCAATAAAACAAAACATGTTTATTCTAAAAATAATACAAGCTCAAAATAAATTGCCGGAATTAATGTGTAGTTTAGAATTTTTCAAAATCTCATTAAATTTTTAAAAGAATTTCGGATTTTTCTGAAGTATGTTCGCTTTTAAAGTGTGTATAATAATTAACTTCAATCAAAAAAAAACTATAATATTTATGATTGCTAATACAAACTAACACAAGTAATGCTTTATCACAATAATTCATAACTCAGTTTCAAGGTTTATATTTTCATGCTTTAGAACAGCTGTTTCGATTTTATTGAGTACTAAATATGTATGTACATAGGTATATGATTAAAACAGAATCAATATTAATAACAAGTACCATTACGAATTTATGTATATAAGAAATTTAAAAAAGCCGTATCTACAAGAAAAGGAAAGACAGAATAATTTTCAAACTTGTTTTAAAAGTATTTTTCGTCAAAATATTTCATTTTGATTTTTAAATTTATTATTTTTCCTTATTAATATATTTAATCTATTTTTAAAGCAATTCAATGACCTATTCTGATAATAATCAAAGATAAATCGATTTGTTTCCTGTAACTGTTATATTTTATTTTCTCGATGATAACGGGAAATACGTGTAATAATATTTAATTAAATTGATTTTTTTTTAAATTTAATTTAAACAATAAAAATTTAATTTATTATTAGCATTGCCGGATCTAATAAATTGCATTTTATTTAAGAAATGAAAAATTGTGCACGTACAGAAAATGTAATACAATATTTTAAGAGTGAAAAACAAAAATCATATTGTATTTATAAATCAATATATTGACATAAAAGAAATAAATGACTAACTTCTATAACATCAAAGCAATGAGTATATACAACTTTTACAATTCACCTTTGTCTTTTAATGTGCAAGGAGCAGTAACTTGACTTTCTAAAGACTTTTAATGAACCATCCTTTTTCTGAACTACAAATTAATCTTTTGTAATTTCATTTATTCAGCAATTAAAATTGTGTTATAGCATTGGAAAGATATTTATTTGCAAAAGCAATTATTAACAAGAGCAGTCATTAACCCTAATATAGCCGACTTAGGCTACATTACGTTACTAGCTTAAAAATAACAACTACATTAAGTAACTAATTCATTAAAAATTATTAATGAATAAAAAAATATGAGTCAAATCTATATTAAGTTTTTTTTTAACTTTTACATTATTTTAATAGTCGAATATCAATTGGTGTCTCATAAAACAAAAAATAGTAAAATTATTTTAAAATTTGTTGTTTAACATAAGATGTAAGTATTTTTAAAAGACCCTTTTATAAAATAAATTTTTGCAGAAACAATATGTATTTTCAGTAAAACTTGTCTTACGGGATTCGCAAGCGATACGTAAAAGAATTTTAACAGTACTCGTAAATACTGTTAGTTATACTGTAAGTTATTATTTAAAGAATTTTAAACCGAGAAAAATGCGCAATGTAGTTACAAAAGTTTTTGTATTATCAAATTCCATAAAATAAATATTTGTGATAATTGATAATAAAATTTAATTCCACAAAAGCGATTCAATAGAAATATTAATAATCAGTATAACAATATTATAGGTATAAAGTATAAAGATACAAACATGTATGTGTTATAATAGCGTAGTCAAAGTTCAAATTCTAATATATAAGTGTGTAAATAAGTTAGTATTTAAGAATTGTTTTTACTATAAATTTGGAAGCAGTGACTGTTTGTTGTTATGACTAAGACACAAGGTTTAATATTTTATTAAATACACATAAGTCTACATAAATACAAGTAACTTATATTATCAAAAAAAAAAAGTTTTTTAATAATCGCATAATCATGACTTCAAAAGCCCTATAATATAATATTAACTTTTTTTTTTGTTTTTGTATTTTGTTATATTTAATGTCATTTAAAGTCAGTGAAAAACATATACATATGTATACATATGTATGTGAATGTGCACATATGTATATATGTACATATTTTAATTACTACCGTCTTTATTGCTTTTTTGGTTTATTCTGTTTTGCTGATGAAAACGCTACGCATTATTCAGTATTAAAGAGATGTTCAAAATCGAAAGGCTGAAGTTAATAACTATTGAATAAGAACGTGTCTGGAATAAAACAAGTTTAAATTTTTTTGTTTATAAACTTGTACCTTTTCATTGTAATCATTAAAATATTGTTTATAAAGTAAATTTTTTCTTGAATAAGAACTAGTCTGCCTGTGGCTTTCAAACAACTTGTTATCTTAACACATTTACGTTAAGCGTTTAAATAATTAGGCATAAAATTATATAATTGAATTCGTTTTTTTTTTTATATTTTGAGCTTTATGCAAATTTAGAATAATATACAAAGTTTTAACGATATGTAGGTAAATATATACAATATGTAAATGCGTTTATATACAAAAACAAATACTCATGTTATTACAATTTTTTTTAAAAATAAGAGAAAATTAGTGATTTATTTATTAAAAAGTTAAAATGAGTCAGAAAATTTTTATATTTATGATATTGGTATTGAATCGAGAAACTGGTGTTAATAAGGGTGAAGTTTATGATATAGCAGAATCAACATTTAATGAAGTGGTACGCAATATAAAATGCCTGCACATACTTAGCTTTATAAAGAAATATAAAAATTATATAAAAAATATATTTATATACATACAATGTCTATTCATGTGTTCGTAATACATGACCTATATTTTTTTAGTTTTGATAAAGAAAATATACCTACTTAGTTTAATGTATAATGTACACATGAATATTTTAATGATTGTATTTAGAAGCGTGATTATTGATAACATAAATAAGCACGTGACGTAATTTTAATACTTTGCGAAAATAAGTTTTGTTTATCATATTATATTTTTTTTATTGTGTTCTTAGAAAGCTTTATTTGAAGATCATTATCGAATTGAGGAACATGAAACTATAACACAAGATGGTTATATATTAAAATTATATAGAATACCACCAAAATATAATGATTCAAATTTATATGAGAATAATACAACAAAATCACCGATATACATGCATCATGCATTAGCAGTAGATTCATCATCATGGTTTTGGAGTATACCAAATGATGTTGCTTTACCATTAACATTATCTGATGCCGGCTATGATGTATGGCTAGGAAATGCTCGTGGTAGTTATTCTTCACGCAAACATTCAAAATTAAATTATAAAACTTCAAGAGAATATTGGGATTTTACATTTCATGAAATTGGTATATATGATTTACCAGCTGTTATTGATTATATTTTGAAGAAAACCAGTTCACAAAAATTACACTATATTGGCCACTCACAAGGAACTGCAGCATTTTTTGTATTAGCAAGTGAATTGACAAAGTATAATGAAAAAATTTTATCATTTCATGGTTTAACACCAACAGTGTTTATGGAAAATATTGGTAGTTCTTACGTACAATTTCTATCAGAAAAATTTGGTAATACTAATGGATTATACTATGAATCTTCTAGCAAACCACCACCTATTAGTGTACATAGAGCATCTAGATATACGTCCCAATTTTGTCAAATTTTTTATTATATGAAATTTTGTACTTTATTATATGGTCACATATTTGGATCTAATGGATCACATATAAATGAGGTAATTTAATTGTAATTTTTGTTTAGTGTACTTTACGCTATACTAAAACAGCACCTGTCTTAGCGAACAAATTAAGCAATATTAATAAAATTTTCACACTTTTACTTATTTTACTTTTATTATTACTTCTTTTAAGTGATCTAATTAGTAATTTAAATAATAAATTATTAATGAAATTCAAAGCACATACCCATACATATCATAGAAAATATGTAATGTATATTTTTTGTTTATATTTCAGTAGCAAAGGTCAATTATAATTTATACAATAATTATTAGTATTTTAACAAGTGTCGTTTTAATGTGGATACTTAATAAATCTTTAAAAATTATTGATAGCTTAAAATTTTTAATGAATTTAATGAATAATTAAAATCACAAAATTTCCGGGAAAGCAAGTAAAAATTAAAATTTTAAAAAGTCAAAGCATTTATAAGAATTTCTGAAAACATTCTTAACACTTATATTTTTACTAATTACAGGAAACTGCAATAAATATTTTCAAAAATACTCCACAAGGAACATCACTTAAAAGTACTTTACACTTTTTTCAAATGGTGCACACAGGACGATTTCAAAAATATGATTATGGTGAAGAACTAAATCATAAAATATATGGAAGAGCACAGCCATCGAATTATGATTTAAAGAAAATTACATGTCCAGTATTTTTGTATTATTCCGAACACGATTTATTTAATAGTTTTAAAGGAAATATTCGTTTATCACATACATTGAGGCCCGAAACATTATACTTGAACTATACAGTACCATCAGAATATAAATTTAATCATATGGATTTTATTCACGGAAAAATTGCTAGAAAATTGATATTTGAAAAAATACTGAGGGGTCTAGAACATGTTGCCGAAAAAGAATTAAATTTATTTTTATAAAGTATATGTATATAAATAACAACACGTGCACATGCTTATGTAAATATAGCCAACCATGGTCATCTGTGATATTATTAAAATTTCTTACATATTATATAGATAATAATTGTTAAAATCTAAAAAAAAAAATTCTTAAAAATAACTTATATTTCATTGTGTAAAGTAGAATTTCTGTTTATGAATCCTACGAAAAAGATCTAAAAACTCAAATTTAAATTTAGAAAATATACTCAATTTATAAATTAGAATGAAATTTGATTTTAAATTCATTATCCGTAAAAATTATGGTATTATCGTTTACAAATATGTTTAACCACTTCGAGAACATATTTTTTGCTATCCAGATGATCTTTATTTAGCAGTGTAATACTAATATATATGGGTAGGTAAATATATATTTGTAATTAAATTTATATTACCATAGTTTGATATTAAATGAAGTTATATAAAATAAATTAATTAAATAATATAATAATTATAATTACACTAAAAATGAGAAGTATGAAGAATTAAATTTAAAAAAAATCTCAATATTTTAAATTATTCAGCAACATATTTTTATAATAAAACTTACTTTTATAAATTAAATTTTAAAATATTTTGTAAAACTGAAATTTGTACATATAATTATGATATTTTTTATAATATTCTTGTACTAACATACATGCATATGCATAACTTTGTGATAAATAATTTATTTTTTAATTGGGTAATTTTAATTTGTAAAGTTTAAAAGTATAATAGCAGATGATTAATTCAACTGCAAGCAACTTATATTTTACGGTTTTTTGTGATCAAGCTTTATCATGGCTAATTAAAGATTAAAAGTGGAACCCTGGGAGTTGTAGTAACTTCATTGTTTCTAGGTGACTAAACTTTAAAAAAATGCACAGAATTTCATTTTAAATCGACCAAATCTGTTTAATTGTCAAAAATAATAAAACAAAAGTGGTCCCGTGGTAGGTGATCTAAGCCACAAAGCATGAATTGATTACCTACACTTACACTCTTTCACTACAATTTCTAGTCAATTTATCAAATATGACTCCGAATATACCTACGTACATATGTATGAATATATGTATGAATCAGCCCTACAAGCTCAAAAAGTTAATCAAAAATAATTTCGAAATTTAAATCGAAATCACAAGCGATGTTAAATAGTTATTAGTTTGAAAGAAGTTAAATAAAATTAATATTTTATGTACTAAATGAATATAAGTCTAGCTAGTTAGTCTATTAGTAGAAGTCTAGTCTTCTTTATAGTTATAAATTATAAAAGCAATAATTATTGTTTTTAGAGTATTTTTATTTTGTTATTTTTTGTGATAAATGTTAAAATTTAAGTTAAGGTGAATTTTAAATAAATGTTAAAACAAACGTTAATGTCATTTTTAGTTTTCTATCTGAAAATATAATTTTTTTACACTTCAGAGATCGATTTATTTTAAAAATTTTATTTTTATTATTTATATTTATTAAATTTATAACAATTATTTATACCAAATAATTGTCATAAATTAAAAATGCTATAAATTATATATTTATGGCTGTTTCGGTTTATTATTTTGTTTAGCTCATAAGAACGTTACACATTGTTCAGTATCAAAGAATTGTTCACAGTTGAAAGGCTGAACTTTAAAATTTACTAAGAACGTTTCGGAAACAAAACGGATTCAATTTTTTTTTGCTTATTCATAAACTAATCATTTTTTTTTTAAAATATTGTTTTTAAAGCAAATTTTTTAATGAATTAGAAAATAGTCAGTCAGTAGCTTTTAGACAAATTATTAAATTTTAATACGTACCTACACGTTTATATAAATATGCATAAAAAATATTATGTAGTTTAAATTTTTTAATTTTTAACGATATACAAACATACATATGTACATATGTTACAGGCATTTATGTACGCATACAAGTACTCCTGTTATTATTACAATTATTATTTTTAAATAAGAAAATATTAGTGATTTCGATATTAAAAAATTAAAATGAATCAAAAAATTTTTATATTAACGATATTGGTGTTCAATCGAGAAACTGGTAACTTCAATCAGGATGAAGTCTATGATATAGCAGAATCAACATTTAATGAAATGGTACGCAATATAAAATACAGAGTTTGTAATAAACTAAAATAATAACATTAACAAAATAAATTACATACATATGTACATATGTATATATTTATGCGCAATTCTTATGTACATATGTTTTGATTAAGTAAAAGACTAATAAACAAACCAAAGTTTATCCCTAATAAATATATTCGCTTTAAAAAAACCATTAATAACCTTCCAATATTTCCAACACATTTCCATAAATTTTAACAAGTAGCTTGTTCTAAGATTTCTAAGAATCTTCTAAAGTTCAATTATATATTTTAGTAGAAAATTTTTTAATAAAAAATTTGCTCTTATTAAAACAGTTCTGATATGCCATGAACCACAAAAAACTATTATTAATTAAGATTTAATTCAAAAAACAAGATCGAATAGAAACTAAAAAAAGCTTAAATTTAATGTTGCTTTCATATAAGTGCATAAGCAACTGGGTGCGTACAACGTATTGAGCAAAAATATATATTATGAATATTTCTAATGAAAAAATTATTATTAACAAAATCACAAGTCGGACATCAAAAGAAATGTTCTCCATACATTACTTTCTATTAAAAAAATTATTTTCCTAAAAAAAATCCGGTTACGAAACACAATTTAAAAACGTGTTATGAAAAAATGGGATGGGTCTATAACGTACCCATTCACCATAATTATTATAAGTACTTGACAAAATCAGGAAAAGGGAGTTTAGTTTTTATCTCTTTTAATTACAAGGATTTGTGTATAATGATTCTGCTTGCAAAAACGAAAATTACTTGTTAGAAGGCAGACTTTGAAACATAAATGCATTATGTAAAGTGACAATATTTCGAAGCGTGATTATTGATAATATAAAAAACACGTGACGTCTATTTAATACTTTGCAAAATTTAAATAACAATAAAGTTTTTTATTGCGTTCTTAGAAAGCTTTATTTGAAGATCATTATCGAGTTGAAGAGCATGAAACTATAACACAAGATGGTTATATATTAAAATTATATAGAATACCACCAAAATATTATAATGATTCAAATTTATATGAGAATAATACAACAAAATCACCGATATACATGCATCATGCATTAGCAGTAGATTCATCATCATGGTTTTGGAGTATATCAAATGATGTTGCTTTACCATTAACATTATCTGATGCTGGCTATGATGTATGGTTAGGTAATGCACGTGGTACTTATTCTTCACGCAAACATTCAAAATTAAATTATAAAACTTCAAGAGAATATTGGGATTTTACATTTCATGAAATTGGTATATATGATTTACCAGCCCTTATTGATTATATTTTAATGAAAACCAGTTCACAAAAATTACACTATATTGGTCACTCACAAGGAAGTACAGTCTTTTTTGTATTTGCAAGTGAATTATCAAAATATAATGAAAAAATTTTATCATTTCATGGTTTAACACCAACAGTATTTATGGAAAATATTGGTAGTTCTTACGTACAATTTCTATCAGAAAAATTTGGTAATACTAATGGATTATACTATGAATCTTCTAGAAAACCGCTACCAATGTGTGTATATAAATCATCTCTATATCTATCTCAGTTTTGTCAAATTTTTTATTATATGAAGTTCTGTACTTTATTATATGGTCATATATTTGGATCTAATGGATCACATATAAATGAGGTAATTTAATTGTAATTTTTTTTTAGTTTGAAAAATTGAACGAATTTTCAAGAAATTTGAAAATACATTAAATACACTCTTAGTCTGTTTAAAAATTACAGCTGTTAACCTGTGTTACTGTGTTTTTTATTGTAAATGATTCTAACCTTTCAAACTATTGTAAATGATTCTAACCTTTAAAATTTGTTGATTTTAGTACATAGGAATTAAATATTACACATATAATAGTAAAAAAAATAGTAAGTGGTGATAAAATGATTTGACAATTTCCTTTAAAGTATTTATTAATATTTAAACTTACAAAATATTTATGAATCATTGGTCAATCATAAATAGACATATAGTTCATATAGTGCACAAGGTTATCAATCCAAAAATTGTATTATTAAAATAAATACAATTGAGTATTAAAATGACATTAATTAATTCTTTCTTACTCATCTATAAAGCATTTCCAATTCAATAAAGTTGACGATAACTGAAAATAAACATTATAAAAGAAACTGATAAATAATCAGTAGCTTTAAATGTGAAATGGTAATTTTCTTAAGAACATGTATGTAATTGCTTTATTTCAATTAATGAACAATTTATGATATTCACAAAGCATAAGGAACATTTTTCAGGATTAGCTATATTATTTTGAACAAAAAATTTATATAAAAGCACCTTTAATTCCGGAAATTAAAAAATATTAGTAAAATCTTTACACTCTTACTATTTATTAATTTACCTTTTATTTTTGCTCCTCTAAATAAAATTTTTTTAAGTAAAACTTTAATTAAACAACTAAATTGTACTTTATGAAATATGTATACATAAGTAATATTTCTGCTTATCTCTGCTTCAATAGCAAAGGTTAATTAGATATTATAATATAGATTGTATTTAAACAAGTTTTGTTTTATTTAACTTAGGTACCTACCTAACAAACTTTTAAAATTAATTGATAGCTTAATATTTTTAATAAATTTAATGATTCATTAAAATCGAAAAGTTTTCCACAAAAAACCAAATAAAAATTAACATTTTATAACAGATATACAAATTTAACAAATTTTCAAAAATTTTACTTAACATTTAGGTTTTTACTTATTACAGGAAACTGCAATAAATATTTTCAAAAATACTCCACAAGGACTATCATTAAAAATTGCTTTACATTATTCTCAAATAGTGTACACAGGACAATTTCAAAAATATGATTATGGTAAAGAACTAAATTATAAAATATATGGAAGAGCACAGCCATCGAATTATGATTTAAAGAAAATTACATGTCCAGTATTTTTGTATTATTCCGAACACGATTTATTTAATAGTTTTAAAGGAAATATTCGTTTATCACATACATTGAGGCCTGAAACACTATATTTGAACTATACAGTACCATCGGAATATAAGTTTAATCACATGGATTTTGTTCATGGGAAAATTGCCAGAAAATTGATATTTGAAAAAATACTGAGGGGTCTAGAGCACGTTGCCGAAAACACATAATTTGCAATTAAAATAATAAAATCCAATTCATTATCTACCATTGGTAAATTTAACGTACTACCAATCGTCAAAATATTTTACCAATGTGAGACAAGATTTTTAATTTGTAGATGTTATTGATTGAGTATTACATTAAGAAAATAATTATGTACTTGTGTTTTTATAATAAAACTTAAACTTTTAAATTATTTTGTAAAATTAAAATTTGTACAAATTAATTATTATGATATTTTTAAAATGTTCTTGAACCTATATCTCTCAGATAAAATAATTTATTTTTTAACACATTATGAGCGGGTCGGGTACTAGTGCCCGCTTGTGTGGATTGTCACTTATAGGCGGCAATTATAGGCAATATGGATGTACAAACTTATTCTAGACATTTTTTATTCTTATATTTTTTTCAAAAACTTGTTATTTTTTGAGTAATAGGGCCTCAAACTTTTTATGAATCTGTATGTATACATTGTATTATCGCCCGCTACGCAACATTGTTGCCCATGCTAGGCCGCCCGCTCATAATGTGTTAATTGAAACTTGTCGTGAAAAAGCGGCAGAAGATAATCCATTCATACGTTATGCTCAGGAGCAAGAAACTTTTAATTTAGCAATTTTTACGATTTTTGAGGTTATCTTGACACAAAGTATAAATTGATTACCTGTCCACGCATTTTTCTGCTATAAAATTCTTAATTAATTTTTAAAATATATCTAATAGAAAATGTGATGTGATGGGAAAATATGAAAGAAATAGTCACCATAATTTTATTATTTTACAAATAATTTTCGATTAAACAGTAATTTACTTTTATTTTTCGTAATTATTTACCTCAAAATTTTATAAAATAAAGGTCATTTGATATTTGCTTTATTAACTGCAAAAATAAATAAATTTTTGTATTATGACTGAATATTGTATGTGCCCAATAGTCAAAAATCTATTAATAGCCTGCAGTTTTGCTTCAAAATTACTTCATTAATTCAATTTTTTAAAATGAAAAAAAGCAAAAAAATCAATTTCTTTCAAATTTCTAATATTTAAATATAATTAGAGGGCGTTATATTTCAGCCAGATAAGGTCAAGTTATTACAATATGTGTTAATAAATATTCGAAAGCAACTTATAACACTAATTTGATCTTTTTGCACAAAATCATATTTAACTAATTTAATGCTTGCGTTATTATAATATTTCAATTATATTAATGTGGTATATTTCAAAAATACCTCACTGTGCTATTTTGTCCATCATTATCATTCGTAATTAATTAAACTAAAAGCAAAAAACGAATTGAAATTTTTTGCCGCAATTGAAATTGCCCATAATGTTTTATACTTTTTTTTCCTACTATTGAAAATTATTACTAGTAAAAATGAATTCTGTTAAATCCATAATTTTTTTAAACATTCTTTAAGTCTAATTATTATTAGGTCGAAAACATGATAATGTGAAGGAAATTCTTGAATTAAAAATTTAAAATGCAACAAAAAAAAATTTATAAATTTAATGTTATTTTTAAGAAAAAATTTAAAATTTAACCAAGGTACTCAAAGCAATTAAAGTTAATGGAAAAATATAACGCATTTTACCTTATTTCTAATATTTTTTTTTCGAACTAAATTATGTTAACATGGAATTTATAAATTGAAAGTATAAACTTTTCAATGTACGTGATTTAAAAATATTTTTTTTATTATTTATAAGTATATGGAATGTTTAACTATAATAATTTCTATATACATAAATGCGAATCTAATGGTTTTTAAAAGGTTCAATAGAAATTATGAATTTAATCAATTCAATAATGTAAAATTTAATTATTAAATTAAAAATTAAATTTAAAAACTATCAACAAAATATTATGGATTTAAATTTGTATGTATAGCGTTAAATATAATTATAATTAAAAGTAGTAAGATTAATTAATTAATTTATGGAAGAAAGAAAAATTTTACGTTTTATTCGTACCGACAATGAAAAAAAAAACAAAGATACTTACATCATTTTTAATATTACAAATTTCTGACATAAACTGTGATAATCCTATTGATTATCTTTATAAAAATAAGAAAAAGAAATATGAGAATAGCAATTAAGTATTACCATAGTGTTACAGATTTAACATAGTTAATAATTTATTTTCAATTTTGTATTACATACATATATATATTATGTAAATATTATTTTATTTTTAATTTATTAAATAATTGATAATGAAAAAATCGTCTTTAAAATATTTTTCTTTTGTTTGTAATTTGAGAATCACTTTTAATTCAAAATTAATAAAGAATTTTGTTTTACAATATTTAAACAAAGAAAATTATTTTAACACAATTTATTGTAAATTCCTTATAATTGCTTTCATTCACAATGACTCGTATTTGTTATATGTGAATTTAAAATCTATTTTAAATACAACTTTACCTTGTCATTTTGCTGGATTTTGAAAAATTTCTTATTTAAAATTATCTTTGAGTAAAATCATATTACATATGTTATTGTAGTTAAATTGCAAAATAAAAAAAACCTGTGAATTCTATTTTTCTATTAACAATTTTACTAGAGATTTTAATCAAAAATTAAATGTATGTTTCATATTTATTTTATAGTATATGCACAATTACATTTGTGAACTGAAGGATCATATAGCATTCAATAAGATAACGATTTATAACTATAATATTGTAATTTAGATGATTTTCAGATGTACTTGTTCATACACACTCTGAACTAAGAATAGTATTAGTATGTACACACATTGAATATATTATATTTATACCCGTACGAACGTTCGAAGGGTATACTAAATTTGCCTTACCGTTTGTAACGCTAAGAAATAACGGCGTTAGATATAGACTCAAGTGTATGTTTTTGATCAGCGTCAAATTCTGAGTTGATTTAGCTTTGTCTGATCGTCCGCCCGTCCGTTCGAACGATAACTCAAAAACTAATTTAGCTAAGTTCACCAAATTTTCACAAATGATTTATTGTAGTAAGTGCCAGAACCCTATTTAAATTGGACATGATCGGGGTACCGGTTCGGGTAGCTGCCATACAACTTCAAAATTTATTTGGCTATATCTCAGAAACTATAAAAGCTGTGGTATTGAAATTTCGCACAAACAAATATATTAGTAGGGCCAATGTGTCTCATAAAAGTCGTTGAAATTACTTGGCTCCTTCTTGTACCTGCCATACAACTTCAAAAGTTATTTGACTATATTTCAGAAACTATTAAAGCTATGGTATTGAAATTTCACACAAACGAATATATTAGTAGGGCCAATGTGTCTCATAAAAGTCGTTGAAATTACTTGGCTCCTTCTGGTACCTGCCATACAACTTCAAAAGTTATTTGGCTATATCTCAGAAACTATAAAAGCTGTGATATTGAGATTTCACTCAAGTGAATATATTAGTATGGCCGATGTATTTGATAAAATTCGCTAAAATTTCTTGGCTCTTTCTGGTAGCTGCCATACAACTTCAATAGTAGTTTGGCACAACCAGTATTTTGAAAAAGACATAGTACTGAAATTTTGCATAAATTAATATGGTAATACGGCAACTTAAAGGCATAGTCTGCCCCATAGTTAGTTATGGCACATTAGTTATTCGCACATAGGATAACAAATTCGTACGGGTATCACAGAGTTGACAAGGTCAACTCTACTTTTTTTCTCGTTTCATATAAATTTTACAATAAAATATATCTATATATGTAGGTATCTGTCTTACAAACATAAAATAAAGTAGACTACACTATACTTTCATCAATAAATTTTTTGAATTCGTGTATATTCAAAACAATGAATGCATTTTCATTTTATAAAATTATTTATTAATTATTGTGTTGTAACTACATAACTATGTTACACTACATACATATATGTATGCAATTCTGTTAAGCAAAAATTAAAATTTTGGTTTCACGAAATGTTTCTCTATATGAGTATCTGTACATATATATGTACAGATACTCATATGCACATGCATAACATAATAATTTTATTCATTTTATGCAATTTTTATAAAGTTACTTAAAAATTTCTTGAAAAACAATTCAAAAATTTTAAATACAATTTTTTATGCAAATAGTACGTGAGAATTTTTTAATGTTGGAATATGAAAACAAGTATGTGATATAAGAAAATTGTGAATTATTCGTAATTAACATTTGAATTTGTGTTAAGATTACGTTAATAAAATATTATTGAAGCTTGCCAATAAATTATTGTAAATTTAACAGCTTACATTATAATAATAAAATTATACATATGTGCTTGATTTATTATTAAAACTTGCAATAATTTAAAAATTTTACAATTTTACCAAAAGAAAATTGTACAATTATAAGGTTTTTGAATATTAATTAGAGCTAAAGTTATAAATTAGAGTAGTAAAATTTTTCAATCAATAATTTTGAAATAACTTAATGCAAGGGAATCGGTTATTCAAATACTGAAATGTTATTTAACTGGAATATGTATACATATACATATATAAGTTATTTTGAAAACAAAAATTATATGATTAAACGATGTTATTGTGAAAAGAAAGTGGATTTGACGAATTGTAAAAAAGGTCAATAAAAAATTAATTAATTTATGTATACATAAAAATGTTTGATAATTTTATACGTTTCAGTGACCATTAATTCATGGTTGATTAATAGAAAAAAATACTATAGAAATATTTTGTAATTAAAAATTGTATAACATAAATAAAAATATGTTTAAAATGGGTGCATTTGAATTAAACTTTATTTTTGAATTGTTTTATTAAAGTACGAATTTTTAATACTCAGTAAAAAGATATTTTTAAGACTGAAATAATATTATACGAGAATTCGGAGGGTATTTCAAGCTATAATTTAGAGTTGAGTTTTAAGCAAAGTACCTATAAATCTGGGTTTGTTTTACCTAAGTATTTAAAACTTCGAGAGAAATCAAACACTCGCATGTACGTATATATTTATATTTCTCGTGTCTGGCCTGGA